GAACAGGGTTTCAGCTTTGAAGACGAAGCGTTCAGGAGGCGGATGGTGTGATGGTTGCACACAACGTAGATGCACTTATACCACTGGCCTAAAAACAGTCAAGATGTCAGCGTTTGCTCTGTGTGTTCTAACATAATTAAAACAAATGTGAACAAATGTGTGCACCCGCTGAGCTCTCACTGTGTGCTGGGCACTGTGCTGCTTCCTTCACATGCAATAAATAAAGACCCCTCCCCTTCATCAATAGCCGTTCAAGAAAGAAGTTATTGTCCCATTTCATGGATAAGAAACCAAGGCCTAGAGGTTAAGTACATGATCCAGGCTCACTCGCCAATAAGACGAGCCAGGGCTCCACCCAGATGTTTCTCTTCCTGGCAAGCACTACAGAAACCGACGGTGATGGCCAGGTGCGGTGGCTCGTGCCTGTAACCCCAGCACTTTGGCCAGCCAAGGCCTGAGGGTTTCTTGAGCCCAGAAGTTTGAGGACAGCTTGGGCAGCATAGTGAGACCACATCTCTATAAAAAAAAGATTTTTAAAAATTAAAAATGTTTAAATTGGTTGTGATGGTGTGTACCTGTGGCCCCAGCTACTGGGGAGGCTGAGGTGGGAGGATTGCTTGAGTCTGGGGGTAGAGGCAATAGCGAGCCGTGATCACGCCACTGTACTCCAGCCTGTGCAGCAGAATGAGACCTTGTCTCAACTAGAATATAATAGTCCATTTTATCCTATGAGTTTTAATTCACCAAATTATTTTAGAAATATGTATACCTGAAATTAAACATAAACATACCAGAAATATGTTTACTGATTATTTGGTATATGGTTACATAAATACACACACAAACGCTTCGCCTGTGGGCAGCAACCTCTGAGTGGTCTTGGGGAGGTGGGGGCCTCAGCTGGACTTGTTAGGACAAAGATGCTCTTAGGGGCTCCACCGTGTGCCCCTCAGGTGCTGAGGAGCCTTCAGACGCTAATCTGCAGGCCTGGGATTTGGGTTTCTTTTAAACCTTGTTTTATTAAAAGTCCCCTGAGCATCGTTTCCTCTGAGGTTTGTGTGCTTGCCTCCTGAAATAATAAGTCTTGTGGGCTGGGGGGCACTGACCTGACCAGCCTCATCAACATCTATCTCCCTTTGTCCTTTAGAGAGAAATGATAGTTTATCCCCAGGAACGGTTGCTAGGAGCAGACCACCTGATAAATAGATGTGAGTAATAATGAGTTAATTAACATCACCTTTAGCTGACAATGAAGACATGTGTGTATGTGCCTGTGTGTGCTGCACACAGTGTGCACATGTGTTTGTATGTGTGTGTACATGTATGCCTGTGTGTGTGTGTGTGTGTGTGTATACATGCCCACACGTGCCTCTGGCGGACCTGGGAAGGATCTCCATGAAGGAAGGAACACGAAGTCAGATGCGCCACCCACTCTGCAGCTGCCTGTGACTTGGGGTTTTACCCACTGCAGGAAGTTTAAATGCCCCAGGGAGCCCATTTCTCAAAGAAGCTCTTTGGAGTGTATGTTTGCAGACTCCTTCCTAATGTGAATAATCACTTTCTAATTCCCGTTTGGAGAATTAATCTTCTAGTTTCTTAGAGTGTAGCACAGAGTTTTGGACATAGGGTCGGTGGCGAATGCGTGTCTTAGCACTTGCAAACAGGCTCGAGGGATTGGTTAGGGTTTTTCTGTGCAATGGAATGATATTCAATCACGAAGAATGAGGTTAACAGCAACCTAAAAGTATGTTCCTGAAAATACTGTCTAGTGAAAACAACAGGTCACAAAACAAAAAATATCTATGTATATATATGCTGGAAGATGACACACATCACACACACCGAGGTGTAAGCTGCGGTTATCTCTGACAGATTACTTGTTTTTTTGTCGGTAATTTCCACAAAAACATTTATCTCTTGTGTAATAATAAAAAGATACTGACCTGACTTTAATTGAAAAAGAAAAATATTGATCTTGCGGAAGGTGCCAGACCCTCCTGACCCCAGGGGAAGGAAGTTGATGGGATCAGAATGATAGAGGATGGAAATGAAACCCGGGGCCTCTGACTTGGTTCCAACTCTCAGATTCCCCGAAGGTGCTGGTGGCCACTGGGCTGCATGAGGGAGGCCTGGCTGTGAAAGGGGCTGTGTTCTCGGGGCAGAGTCTTGCTTACACCTGCTGGTGTCTGTGGGAGAACCAATCCCTCACCTCCTTCCCTCGGCTCCTCCCTCACATCGCGTCTCACGCCCGTGCTCTCCATTACTTCCCACGGATGCCATCCTGAGCCCCGTGCCTAGGGGGCCGGGTGGATACCCCTGTAGCCCTGCTCTCAGAGGATGCTATTTCAGCAGGGTGGGTGGGTCGCCACCCGGCCAGGGCAGGAAGCACAGCTCTGGTTATTCTTAATCAATCATCAATCCCTCTGATGGCCCCGGGGGCTCAGTTCCTGAAGATCAGGCAGATAAAGCAGAGCCAGTAAAAGTTCTTGCCTGTGTGGTGGGGAAGGGGAGAGGTGGGGGTGGGGGACTAGAACCCTGTGGCCAGCCACGCCCTGCTGTCATAGCTATTACTGGGGTGAAGGGGTCAGTTTCATCCTGCCTTTCAATCCCTATGTTTTTCTTTTCCACCCATCCCAGCTCCCCAAAACAGAATAAGGTAAGAAACCCTAAAAAGCTCCACAAAATAATGAGCAAAAAACAAGATGAGGCAGAGCGGTCCCTGGGGGCTTGTCGTTTGGTTTCAGAGACATAGGCTTCTGCCTCCATTTCCCAAGCGTGGGCAGAGCCCCGTCCCCTTGTCCACCTGCTCTGGACAGACAGACGTGAAATGGGCTCTGGCGCCCCCTCCAGTGAGCCCCTGAGCAGGGGAGAAAGCCTTTGGAGGAGTCACTGTCAGATCTTTCTGCCTCTCCCCCAGCCCTGCGACCTCCTCCTGCGCAGACTGTGTGGACTGGGGCGGGGGGACCAGCTGCACAGCTCTGAACAGAACAAACTCCTGAAAGGGCAGGGAGCCTCCACTGGGCCATTTTTCAGACTTTAATTCCATTGAATGAGACTTAAAAAGGCCTTTCTGTTTGCTCAGCCCAAATTCCCTCTCTGCCGTGGGCAGCCAGCCTCTCTCCAAGGAGAGCAGAACAACCAGCAGAGAGTGCACGGCCTGGCTGACTGTCCAGGGCTGACCTGCCGTAGTCTCTAGCGTCCAGCCCTGGGCAGTGGCTGTGCAGGCCAGTGGCTGGAGGTTGCCCGGACTCTGCCATCACTGGCCACCCTGCTAGAGCTCAGCTAAGGTCAAGTTTCATAAAAGCGGCAGCATCCACAGTCTGACTTCATGTCCAGCGGGTGAAAGCCAGAAAGCACAGACGGAATCTAGCCGATAGGGCCCCAAGCTCTGCAGAAATATCCTGAAATGAGGCCTGCAGGCGGCTGCTGCAGCCAGATAACCCACATCCGGTCTTCAGCTCTGCCAGTTCCCAGCTGGGTGGCCGTGACCTCCCTGAGCCCTGCTAAGAACACCCGTGCACGTCAACGGCGGAAAGTAAATGAGACGGGGCTGTGAGACGTTTCCCCGACCCAAGGCACTCAGCAGCGCTAGCTGACAACAGGCCAGGCCAGGGCAGCTCACACATCCATGCAGAATGCCAGCCACGGCCCGCACTCATGTGACTCTCCTGAAATTCGGCTGATCAAATGAATCAGTGCGGCAGAGCCTGCTGCCAGCCCACCCTGGCACGCCTGCCCTCGGAGCTCCCCTCCCCTCCCTGCTTTGCTCCTGGGGGCTCCCTTCTCTTACTGTTTCCAACTCAGGCTAAATGATTCCTGCTGCAGCCTCCTGGCCTGGGAGAGGATGAGGATGGGGTCTTCCTCGGGGGCCATCCCAAGGCCACTTCCTCCCTTCCCTTCCACGCTGCTGAGTCGGCAGAAGGACATGAGAGTGTCCAGGCCAGAAGGAAGGTGTCAGAAGGTCCAGGGCGCCCTCCCTCCCTCCTTCTCTTGGCCGCCCAGATGCCAACAGCCCCACCGACCTCCTTGGCCTCCTGTGGCCGGTGACCTCCTCCACCCTGGTTCCATGGACTCCTGGGAGAGCTCTGACATGGCTGGTCCTCAGACCTGCCAGCCTGGGTGTTGGGCCTCTGTCAGGAGGGATATGAGAGGCTGGGGGAAAAGGAAACCCCTCTCCTGGTTTGGGGCCTGACAGCCATGAGTCTTGGAGAGCCTGGGAGTGTCTGGCCCCCGGCCCTCTGAGGGAGTTTTCTGTGATATTTATTAACCCACTTTCTCTCTTGGCACTCAGAGCAAGGAGGGAACCTCAGCCAAGGCTATTAATAGGCCAAGGCCATCCCTGGGGAGAAGAATGAGCTCATACCTACAGCACAGGTGCCAAGTATAATAAAGGCTTCCAGCTCGGGCCTAAATATAGGCTGCGGCCACCTCGGGGCGCAGAAGGAGGGCCTTGCATGAGCCGCGAGCACTGGCTTGGTTGCCATCCGGCTGGCCGCTTGGGCAAAGCTTTTTGACACCTGTGCTCAGGACAAGCTCCACCGGGAGAGGATGTATCGGTCACACAGTGCTGTTCTGCCCTAGGTCAGCCCCAGTGGGAGCCACCCAGGAGGTGGGGGAGGCGAAACGGCATGCAATATAAATGACTCCTGTAAACAGAGAGTTTTAATAAAAGGCAGTGAGGGGATTTATGGGCAACCCAAGGATAATTACAATTATTTATCTACTTACCTCCCTCGCTGGCTGATCAGTCTATTAATTATCTATTATATACTCGCTGATTTGCATTTCAGTGGGGGGACTGGGGAAGGGCAGGTGAAAAACACAGAAGAGTTGGGGAACCCTGTGGTGGGGACCCTCCTCTCTGCAGACCAAAGCTCCCCCTGCAGACGCCCTCATGTGTCGCTCCCCCATTGCCATGGGCCACCCCAAGGCCCGAGAGAAGCCCCCATCTGAGAACCAGCTTGTGGGGAGCAGAAAGCATTGCGTAAAGAGACTCGTACCTGTGTGCAGAGGGATGGCTCCAGGAACAGGTTCCCAGCGGGAGGGGCTGCAGACCAGCTCCGGGAAAATGGTGGCAGAATTTCCTCTGGCTGCTGTGACTTCACATTGCATTTTAAAAAGAAAACAAGAGAACGAAACCATTTTCAACCTCTGACTATCTGGACCACATTAGACACACACTCTCTTGATTTAAAATATTACAGGACAGAGGGTCACGGGAACTATGTCTTTTGCATGATGCAAACAGGAATGCGTCAGGTTGGGAGAAGTGGTAAGAAGGTGGCCCTGCTCACCACCTCATGGGTAGAACTTGCCCTGAGCTCCACAGACCTGGAAATTGCAGGTGAGACTCACGGTATCAAAACCGAAGCTGGGGTTAGAGGGGAGAGTGCCAGTGGGTGATGGGGTCAGGCTGGAGGTTGGACAGATGGGGGATGGCCCAGTTGCCTGTCCCCAAGACGGGCCCTGGGTCTTTCTCAAGCCAGCAGAGCCTCCCTGCGGATAAATCAGCAGCAGCAGCCCCATTACCAGGCCCAATTTCCAAGCCCTGGGCTGCATCCTAGAGGACGTGTAACGGCCACTGTGGGTTGAGCAGCCCCCGTGGTTTGCACTTGCAGCCTGGCTACACCCTTGATGGGAAGCAAGGCTGTTTTCTTGTCAGAACCAGTCAGTGTCACCACGAGCGACTGTGGATTCTCCTTCTTCATCTTAGGCTCCCCTAGGATTGACAGTGTGAATGCCTCTGGCCACCAGGCTTCCCTGCTAGATGCTGGGTGGGGGCAATGTCAAGGGGGCACCTGGCTTCTGCCTCTTAGTGGCTCAGTCTGCTGATCTGTGTCAGCTGTGAGCAGGGACTAGGTCTGCCATGGTCTGAGTGTTTCTGTTTCCTCAAAGGCCGAATGTGATGGGATTTGAAGGTGGGGCCTTTGGGAGGTAATGAAGTCATGAGGGTGGGGCTCTCCCAGTGGGATGAGTGCCCTCATAAGAGCCTCTCTCTCTCCTCCAGGTAAGAATACACCAGATGTGTTGGCACCTGCATCTTGGACTTTCCAGTCTCCACAACTGTAAGAAGTAAATGTTTGTTGTGCCAGGTGTGGTGGCTCACACCTGTAATCCCAGCACTTTGAGAAGCCGAAGTGGGCGATCACTTGAGGCCAGGAGTTTGAGCCCAGTCTGGCCAACATGGTGAGACTCCATCTCTATTAAAAATACAAAAGTTAGCTGGGCATGGTGGTGGGTGTCTATGATCCCAGCTACTAGGCAGGCTGAGACAAGAGAATCACTTGAACCTGGGAGGCAGAGATTGCAGTGAGCTGAGATTACACCACTGCACCCCAGCCTGGGCAACAGAAAAAGACTGTGTCTCAAAAAAAATAAAAATGAAAAAGTAAATATTTGTCATTTAAGCCACCCACATCTTGTTATAGCAGCCCCAGTCCACTAAGACAGAGCCTCATGTGGCTTGTGTTCCTCAAAGCAGCTGACAGTGGGTTTTGTACAGGTAGGAGGAAGGCAGATGGGGCAGCAAAGGGTATCACATGATCAGGGACTCCACTGAAACTCTGGACTCTTCCTCCCTCCGCCTCTTCTGAGCCTTCCTCACCCACCCTGTGCCTCTGTTCCTGTGGGCACTGCCCTATCCCCTACATGCCCTCTACCCCACCATCCCACTTCTCACACCTGCTCCTTGCTCCCCCTGCCCCACCCATGGGGCCTTCTGGTTGGATTTGACCTGAGGGTCCTCGCACATGTCGTCCCCTCCTCCAGGTATTGGACAACATCTGCTTGTTCAGGCCTCCTCCCCCCACCAGAGAAGCCCCCAACCATCGTATCGGAGGAAGCCCCTGCCCCATTGCCTGCCACATCTGCTCCCGGCCTGTCGCACCATAATACGGGTTGGCTCTGTGTCCCTGCCCAAATCTCATTTCAGATTGCAATCCCCACATGTGGAAGGAGGGACCTGGTGGGGGGTAACTGGATCATGGGGGCGGTTTCCCCAGTGCTGTTCTCGTGATGGTGAGTGAATTCTCATGAGATCTGATGGTTGGAAAGCATTTGGCAAGTTCCCCCCGCCCCGCCCCGCCTTTCATCTCCTGCTACTACGTAGGATGCACATTGCTTCCCCTTCGCCTTCCGCCATGATTGTAAGTTTCCTGAGGCCTCCCAGACACCAGGAACTGTGAGTCAATTAAAGCTCTTTCCTTTATAAATTACCCAGGCTCAGGTAGTTCTTTAGACACCACAGTCATAAGGCAATGTCATCATGTACTTCATTTGTACACGATGCCCTGAAACGGAAGCTTCCTGAGGACACGTGGAGTGGCTGCATGCCTCCATGCTGGAGTAGGGCTTGGCATGCCATAGGTGCTCAGGGAATGAGTGAGGAGTGAGGGGTGAGGAGTGAGGAGTGAGGAGTGAGGAGTGAGGACTGAGGACTGAGGACTGAGGACTGAGGACTGAGGACTGAGGACTGAGGACTGAGGAGTGAATGTGTGAATTTGTGGCTGCCCCAGATGCTGTCTTCCAACTCCTATTTGCACTCCTAGCCTTCAGCATGTCCTTCTTAGCATGGATTCCCCACCCTGTCCCTAGAGTAGAGTTTTAAAGCACAAAGGTTGTTTAAAATCCCTTGAAGGACCCTCAAAGTCTGGGGTTTAAGTCCAGATTTCTGAGCCTGAGGGTCTAGGCCCTTCACAGTCAGTTTCACCTCCTTCCCAGGGTCCTCTCCCCATGATTGGTGCAAATCTCAGCCCGGCCGTCCCGCCCAGGCCAGGGTGAGACCTCCCCTATGTCCCCAGCGCAATCTGTCACCACGCTCCAGGTTCCTGTGGACTATTTTCTGCACTCCTCCCAGCAGAGGCTCCCATGGGTACCCCCAACCCTGTCTCTTTTTTCTCTCCTACCTGACCCCTGGCCCCGCCCTGCTTCCCAGACAGCCAGCAGTGGCTGTCTGTTTCCCCACTGCAGAGGGTCCTGTCCTGTCGGGGAGGCAGAGCTCTTGCAGGCTCACAGAGGAGGACCTCCACCCTCCTCCCACATTCCCCGGCCTCTGCCTGGGCATTTCTTTGGAGGGAGCACTGCTCTGTCGCTCACTGGCAGCACAGACAAGTCACCCCCAATGCTGCCTTGGCATTAAACATCTAATGCAAGTTAGAAGCCCATTTTCCATAACGCTCAGAAACAGTGCTGCTTCCAGGAGCTCACTGCCCTCTAGGCCCATCCATCGAACCCTGGTCAGCAGCTCTTGGGGTCTTGGGACATTTGATGGTCAGTGTTAAGCATCTACTTGGCCAGGCTGTTGTCCCCTGGGATTCAGTCCAGCACGAACTCAGGTGTTGCTGGGTGGTATTTGGTAACTGGCTAATGACTAAAATCAATTGATTTCAGTATAGGATACGGCCTTTCATAATGTGGGTGGGTGGGCTTCATCCAGTCAGTTGAAAGGCCTTCACAGCAAAAACTAAGGCTATCTGGGGAAAAACATTCTACCTCAAGAAGGCAACACCAGCTGGGCATAGTGGCTCACGCCTGTAATCCCAGCACTTTAAGAGGCTGAGGCAGGTGGATCACCTGAGGTCAGGAGTTCGAGACCAGCCTGCATGGCGAAATCCCATCTCTACTAAAACTACAAAAATTAGCCGGTCACGGTGGTGGGCACCTGTAGTCCCAGCTACTCAGGGGCTGAGACAGGAGAATACCTTGAACTGAGGAGGCACAGGTTGCAGTGAGCCAAGATCGTGCCATTGCACTCCAGCCTGGGCGACAATAGAGAGACTTCATTTCTAAATAAATAAATAACTGCAGCACCAATTCCTGCCTGAGGTTCCAGCCCATCCTACAGAGTTCAGATTCAGCAGCCACTGCAATAATGTGACCTAGTTCCTTAAAATCGGTTCTATCTATTTATCTTTCATCACCTACCTACCCACCTAGGTCCAATTGACTCTGTTTCCCTGGAGAACCCTGAGTCAGGGCCTCTGGGGTCTCTCCCAGATTGGGATTCTGGAGCTGACCCTGTCCATCAGCAGAAGCAGCCAGCTCCGCCACCTGCCCTCATCGTGGGGACCCTGGTCTAGTCTGGCCCAGTGCTTTCACTGGGATGTAGACCACCTCTTCATGGTCTACCCAGCATGCTGTTTGGGATGGTGGAGTGGGCAGTGGTGCCTCCACCATGACAGAAATCGGGTGAGGAAGGAGGCTGCCCAAGGCCTCATGTCTGCTGAGGGACAAGGACTGCACTCTCACAAACCTGGAACACACCAGCCCTCCCAAGCCTATGTAAGGTCAGGTGTGGCTGTGATGAGATCGACCCAGGTGCCAGCTTCAGCTCGGGCCTGAAAATCCCTCTCCTGTCAGAGCTGACATTTCAGGACAGGCGTCTCCCCTCTTCCTTCTCCTCCCCCTTCCTGACTATCGCTTCTCAATTCTGATGATGTATCAATAACTGCAAAGCAAAATGCCACAGTTAGCAGCGCCACCGTACTGTAACTAATCATTTTCTGAATCGATTCTCAGGGTTGCATGTGCACAGCGAGGTGGGGCTGCGGCTGCGAAGCCACTGCAGCCTTCAGGAATTAGGCGCACCCGGAGAAGTTTCAGGAGACAAAGAGGAGGGCTGGGAAGAGCAGGGGGCAGGCAGCAGGAGAGACAAGGGAAAGCGCAGATTTTCAAACAATGAGGGCCAGGGGAGGTTCTCAAAGAGACAGAGAAGCTGGCGGCAGCAAACCATGGCCTGACCTGCCTTCCTAGGGCGCAGCAGAGGTGAGGAAGGGGCTGCGGCCTGAGCACATCTGATGAATGAGGTGTGGTGGGCAGGAGGCAGGTCACCAGCATTGCGAGGGCAGGAGCATGAGTCTGCCGGGCTCTGTCCCATGCTCTCGCAACATCCGAGCGAGGACAGTAGGCCAAGCCAGACCAGGGTCCCCAAGATGGGGGAGGTGGCGGGGCTGGCTGTCAGGTGACAGGTGCCTTCCTGGGATGGGGACACAGGGGAGAGGGCAGATTACTGCACACCCACCTGTTCCAGGCAGCAAGAAAGACTCAGGCCCAGGAAACCCTCCAGCTCCTTCGTGCACATAAAAAGACCTTAGGGGTCTCC